CAGCGTGGGAGGCGGTGCCGTGAGGGCTTGGAGGAGCGGGAGGGCCCTGCCCCGCTCCGCCAGTGCTTGGGGGTGCTAATCCCCGGGGGGCCCTGAGCCTTCCTCGGCTCCTCCCGACGCAGACGGGATTCCTCGGGCTCTTTCGATGTTTCAGGAGAATGTGTTGCTTTGCTTTGTGGCAATCGTTTTATTGCTGTAGTTAATAAAGTTAAACGATCCGCTCTCGGAAATCTATACCCCTTCTCCGTCTGTACGACTAATGTAGAAACTGAACAAAGATCGTTTCACCCATCTGCTGCCACACAACGCTGTGACAGTGTGAGCTTGGAACAGGAGGTCTTTGGTTGGAGAAAGCTGTTGTTTTAAGATATGTTAAGCACCCCGATTCTTGAATTTGCTGGGAACTGAAGGTATTCTGCATTTTTTTGAAGTAAATATGTCCACTTTTGGTCTCTGGCTGCCATACCCTGTTAAGAATTGGGTATGTTTAATTTGTAATAAAACAATATGTGCATGTATCAGCTTGTCATTCATTTTGGGACTATACTATGTCAAAGGTATGTTACAAAAGCATACCCTCAATAGTATTTCCCTGCAGAAACTCCTAGTAATCTAGTTTTTCACAAACTTGATGTTTGTCAAGTCTTTGTTTTGTGAGTTGATATCAAAAGACTAATTCCTCCTGAGACCAGAACAGTGCTTCTTGATCCTTGTAGTCTGCTTTTCATTCACTTGTTTTAATGAAAAAAGGTCAAGTGAATCACTTTAATGACTGCACAACTGTGTATGCACATTTCAGTTATTAATAGGTTCTTAATGCTTTAAAGCTTCCTGCGTATTTTTCTCATAATTGGATTTAATATTAATATAACACTTTACCTTCCAAATAACCCTCCTGCCTTTTTTGGTTTAACTTGAGAAAGAAAATGTAGTTTTTTAAGACAGCTAAATCAAACGGCCCATGTTGATGACCTGCCTGAGTGAACACAAGCAAGCGCCTACCTGTCCGTCGCCTGTGTAGGAACAAGTGCTTTTCACCGTGTGAGAATGGCAGTTCTTCTCCAAGGAGGCGTGTTTGTGCTGAGTGCCCTCGTGGTTTTATTGTTTATGATTTATTTCCTCTAAACTTGGCTGAGCATCAGATAGGGAAAAGGATTAGGGGACAGATTTGGTGTCTCTTGGGATCCCTTCCAGTTACATCTTTTGTAATGCTGAGTGCAGTTCATTCAGACCCGGGAGCCATACGTGCTGATAGCTGTTGTATTGCTGCTGAGCTAGAATTAGAGATCGTGGAAGAGCTCCACAGCTGCCAATTTGGAGAGCTGTCTGGACCTTTCTCTTGTCTCTCTGTCTTTGCCCTACCATTCTCAGCTGAGTAGTTAATCTTATTTTTTACAACAGGGATAATGTGGAGTGGTCAGAAGAGCAGGAAGCCAGTGCCAGGAGTAAAGTTCAAGAGAACAGCTCACAGCTATTGCCACAAGATAAACAAGGTACTTTTGGATACTATTGTAATGCTGAGTCTTAACTTGTTCATACAAGAGCGGAACAGTCTGGCCAGAGCTGCATATGCATCATCATTTATTCCTCCCTTCCCCCCATCTCCGAAATCATTCAAAATACATTACCTAGTGGTTGATAATGAAAAATGGAGGAGGAGGAATCTTTCTGTTCTTAATTTACCTCTTTGTGACTTTTCCACCTTCCCCAGAGACTCATCCTACTGGAACAGAAGTGATCTTGGCTGGGAGGAGTCATCTTGGGTTGAGCTTCTCTGTTCATGTTGTGTGTGTTTAAATACTTGTTAGTGTTCCCTGTCAACAAACTTCTTTCAGTGTAGAGCAACAGCCTCATTTAGTCTTATTTTCTCTGCTTGCTTTTGCTCTCTAAAGCTTAACTTCTAACAGGCAAGCTTTTGTTTGCTTGCATGCTGTGGAGCTATCCCTAATGCAGGCTTGGTTTTTCTCTTAAGAGGGTCTAATAAAGTAGTGTCCATATTCATCTCTACCAGGTTAACAAACAGCATGATAATGATTAAATCAGAAGCGAAGAAAAATTATTTTATCCTGATTGAAGTGTTCATCATCAGAGAGGCAGAAAAGGGATTTCAGAGTTTTTGTTTCCTCAAACTTGGCTTAAAGGCTATTTATACATCCAAAACGCAAAGCTTACCTGAATCTGAATCAAGCTAAAGGTGCACAACTCTATAGTCAAGTAATATGGTTGAAGCTGTTCTGAGTTGGTTAATAATGCGTCTTTCCTCCACACCTGTTAGATATCATCCAGTCCCTTAAATGATGGTGAAATGGCTTCCTGTTCCTTGCTATGATAAGAGACTTTTTTGATGATGATCTTGTTATATCCTGCTGAGTTCTAGGATGGGTCTGCTCCTTTTGTTCAAATTAAATTGAGTGTGTCATCTGTAAGGCGCTGCTGAACACTATTGGAGCTATTGAGACACTTCCCATATAGCTTCCAGTTGTGTTCACAATAGCAAATTTAATTATACCAAAGAGCAACCCTCCTGATGTCTTGGATTCCCAGAAGTATCCAGCAGTTTCTATTGTGATACCCATTGTGTTGAGTTCATTTTAAAATCTGGTTAACATTAAAGGATGCTGTCTGTCATGCTTTGAGAACCTATATACAACTATGAAATTGTGGAGCAATTTACTGTTAAAGCAGTTTGTCAGGTCTTCATGATGTATTTCCCAGACTGAACAATGGAGGCCAGTCAAATTTTGATGGTTGCTATTCAGTGGGAAGCGTGTGGAGACAATGGGATGGCTGAAACGTAGGGAAGCCAGCCCAGCCAAATGTGCCTGAAGGGTCTAGTATTTTGAGAATCAGTAATGTCCAAGCAGGAGAACAAAGGCAGGCTATTGGTCATTATGGCTGTATTATTCTGTGGACTTCTTGGGACTGTCAGAATTTGTTCTGAAGAAGGAGAGAAGTTCTGTGGGGTATGTCGAAGATGCTTCTCCTGGCTGGGAGCAAAGAAAGAAGTGGAAGAGTTTCTTGGTTTCCTTTTGAGGCTCCATAATTAGCCTCCATGCAGTTCAGGGGGTCCCTGGTTCTTTTCCTGTCTTTTGTGAACAGTTACTTTTGTTTGCCCTTCTTCTGCAATGTGAAAGGGTGAGTATGGGCTTGGCTTTGGGGGTGTCCTTACAAAGATGAGCAGAAAAGTGAGGAGTCCTTATCAAGAAAATCTCTGGAGGAATCTGGCTCGCACGCCGATGTCCCCATGAGCTAATACCACAAAAAGGATCTTGAAGCGAGTATTATGTGAACTTTTCTGGCATGAGTTGTGCAGGAAGTTGGGCTGAAAAATTAATATGGTCATTTTTTTGTTTTAAATCTGTTTCTTGCATGGTCTTTGTCAGCTGGCCCTTGATTTCTTGCATTTATATTGTTACTGATCTTTTATTCCAGTGCTTTGAAAACACTAGGCTATGAGGTAGATGAGCTTTAAATAAAGCTTACAAACATGTGGGTTGGAGCTGTTCAATAGCATCCAACTGAATTTCACAATAATTTAACACAGGAAGAGCACAATGTCTTGTTCAGCGTTATACTGTGGCAAAAATGTGGGTAATCCAAAATGGCTGGGCTGGAATTTTACCCCAGCACCTCAGGTAAGCGTCCCATTACAGTCAGGCTGTC